TACATTTTAAGTGTCTAATTAAATGTAATTATTAAAGTATAGTCATCTTTAGCAAAGTACACAGAGACTAGCTAGACTAATATATTACAAAAATTAACAGTGGATGTGTTCCTTTCATGAGATTGAATTTCTAATGGACTAAACAACATACCGAACCAAATATATTAGCTGAGGAAAAAAAAGATTAGGCCAGGTGGAGTAGTGCATACTTGGAATTCCAGCTCTTCAAAAGTGGAGGCAGGAAGGTTAAAATAAAGCCAACAGTTCCCCTGTGTTTATTTTGGTACAATAATAACAGTATTATTATTGTTTCAAGCTTATCATTGGCTACATATAAGACTCTGTCTCAAAAAAAAAAGTAAAAATAAACTTTACTGGAATTTGCACAGCTACTATGACAGGAACTAGAAAACAGGACCCACACCCAAGCCTTCTCTTCTATAATCATTCATTCCCTTTTGACAGTAGAGGTGTGGCTTAACCCCACATGTGTTCTGCTCTCTCTGTGCCCGACACAGAGTTTATTAGATTTCACATACTTATCACGCCAAAGTACTGAGGTAGAAACTGGGTCAGTTGGTGGGGAAAGCAGGTAACACAACATATTCTAAATGTTTTTTTCACAAATGTGAAGAGAGAAGATTGCTTTTCAGCTGCCGCTATTAACGAGTCTCCTCACTCAAGAATGAGAATGGTCTCGTCCACTGTCCACCCTCTGCCTCTCGAATCTCTGTAGACACGGAGCACACTGTACGGGGAGTGCATCGTGCCAAGCTGAGTCCCCACAGAGTGTCAAGATGTCCATGGTGTCTGCTTAATGGGTCTCTTCTAAAAGGGTGTAGACACGTTTTTAAAATGTCCTTTTTTAGAGGAGCCAAGAAAGAGAATGAGAAGAAAAAGAAATGTTGAAATAAGTGTCATTTTGTCTTTACAACTTTGTAGTCATAAACATAATAAAAACCTTAAATGGATGGCTAAGAGCCTGGATCCTAGCAGTCTGCCTCAAGTACTTGTGATATTTTAGCACAGCTGAGATCTAAATGGAGTTTACGGTCCCCACTCCTGTTCAGCGTCCCAGCTTCTCTGACATTGTCTCCATCCACTTCCCACAGGCCTTCAACTCGAATTTCTAGTATGACTAAACGCCAGGTCCATATCAGTTTAGAGTATCATAAGGGACTTACTGGAGCTAATAGGAGACACAACTTTACTAACACAAATGTAGTCCCTTTGCTTTATATAGATGCATTTCTGAGTCAAGCTAGGCTCCCAATTCTGATGAGGATGTGCTGTGTTAATAAAGCAAAAAGGGAGGAATGTTGGGATCCATAAGCAGGCATCTCTACCCCAAGGGACCTGACAAACCTGAATTCAGGCATCTGTGAAGCCACCTACAAACCACCTGAAACCACCTGCGCATGCTCTGGGTCACCTTATAAAGAGAACTCGCACACACGCACACCCGGTCTCTTGCACTGCCCAGAGATGGTCTCTGTGATCCCTTCGCCCTCCCGTTGATAGACCTCCCACTTGGAGCCAGTCGGGTGGCGTGATTTGTGAACCCCCCATGTAACTTCTCTGCGCAATCCTAACAGGATGACCTACCCAACCTTCCTGTGCGGACACCCCAGACACGTTTCCCCCCAAAACCGTCCTTAGTTTTGTAAATGATTAACGAAAATATTTATGGAAGGATATAAGCATGCCTCCTCTAGTGTTTCTTACAGGGTGTTCCTTCAATAAAGTAGAACTATGTTGCCTTATAGACAAACAGTGACCCGGTCAATCCATCAGTTTTCCCGGCCCAAACAGAGTTGCTGATAACTTTTTTTTACAGACAATGAAGTGTACGGATCCACAAAGCCCGGCTGTGACAGGTATCACTCCAAATGCATCCTTCAATAAAAGCCCTTTGATAATGCAATTCGTAGCATTTCTCCTCTGCAGTGGCAACATGTTAATCCTCTGTGATAGAAGGCACAGCAGGATAAAGAAGGAAGGTTTCAGCCTAGGCAAGAAGACAGGGCAGGTGGGGGAGCATGGAAGACATGGAAGACTGCTGCAGTCACAAGCCCAGAACAAGCCCTTCAAACATGCAGATTTCACCTTCAAAACATATATAATTTTTTTCATATATAAAATTTTATATGCAAACTTTCCCATTTGCCACTGGAAAAGACAACTTCTATGAATTGAACAATAGTGCATTAGTTTTTAAATGTTCTCATAATGTTAATGCTACAGGCAGGGCCCACCTGAGTTTTATCTGCGCTGTCAACACCTTTCCCATCACTGACTTAAGTTTAGACAGTCTACAAAGTGAAGGGCTGTGAAATTAAGTTATGGACTATAGTGTTTGCCAGTTTTGTAAATATTGTGGTGCTGAATTCAAGTTTGTGGTACTGAATTCAAGTTTTCTGGCGTACGTGTGCTTATCTTTCCTAACCAAAGAGGATTTTTCATTTCACAAGTCAGACCTGGCTCTCTGTTTGAATGAGGAGTGGGGAAGTGGGGAAAAAAAATCATATATTTTTCCAAATGAATTAGTGAAAAGGTTAAATTACAGACTTTTCTTTTCCTTAGTGACAACTCAGAGATTATAGAGACAGTTAGGATATAAATGGATGAAGGAGAAACTGGAAGGAATATGGAGGTGAGAAGAATCAAAAGCAGGAAGAGGAGGAGCAGAGGAGAAGAAGCAGAGAAGGAGAGAGGAGAAGAGGAGGAGGCCAGGAGGAGGAGCAAAGGAAAAAAAGAAGGGGCGAAGACTTTCTACCAATAAATAGTGCTCCTGACTAGGAAAGGGCACTAGTAAAGGATTTCTTCATGAGGAATTTTATAGCAACATCTCATTTTGTCCTCTCAAAACCACTTCAGATATGAATTTTAGTTTCATGTTATAAAGACACAAAGAGTAAAAAAGGTAATAACAAAAAAGTTAGTTTTGAAGTTTCTTTTTTTTTCTGTCCCAAGAAGGGGTTTGAAAGTGTAGTGTAATCACGTAAAAAGGGTAAAATGGTCTGATTCTCTTTCCTGCTTGCTGAGGACTCCATGTTGCTAGCCTGGATAGTTGCGCCTTCAGCAGTTTCCTTCTGGAAACTCATCCAGAGAAGTGTTCAAGAAGAAAAGACTACGTACTTCTTCCTCCAGCCGTAATGACCACAGAGTTACTGAAACTCTTACTCCTCTGTGTAAGAAAAGTATTCACTGAACCCATCAAACATCGAGGGGGATGTTTTAAACACATTTCCTGTAATATGGTTGGTCCTACATACAAATACTCTTTTTTGCCTTTTTAAATTTATTTTTAGTTTTATTATTAGTTACATTTTATTAACTCTGTATCCCAGCTGTATCCCTCTCCCTCATTCTCTCCCAATCCCACCATCCTTCCCTCATCTCCTCCCTGCTCCTTTCCAAGTCCACTGATTGGGGAGGACCTCCTCCCCTGTCATCTGACCCTGTTTTATCAGGTATCTTCAGGACTGGCTGCAAAGTCCTCCTCTGTGGCCTAGCAAGACTGCTCCTCCCTTGGGGGGTGGGGAGGTAAAAGAGCCTGTCCTTGAGTTCCTGTCAGAAATAGTCCCTGTTCCCCTTACTATGGGAAACCAATTGGTTACTGAGCTACCATGGGCTACATCCGAGCAGAGATTCTAAATTATATCCATACCTGGTCCTTGGTGGAGTATCAGTCTCCGAAAAGACCCCTGTGCCCAGATATATTTGATCCTTGTGGAGCTCCTATATTTTCTACATCATACTAACTCCCCCTTCTTTCATATGATTCCCTGCACTCTGCTGAAGGTTTGGTTATGAGTCTTAGTATCTGCTTTGATACACTGCTAGGGAGAGTCTTTCAGAGGCCCTCTGCAGTAGGCTCCTGTCCTGTTACTTGTTTTCTCCATGTCCAATGCACATCCCATTTGTCTCTCTAAGTAAGGATTGATCATCTTACCCTGGGTTCTCTTTCTTGTTTATCTTCTTTAGGTGTATAGATTTTACTATGTTTATCATATCTTATAGGTCTATGTAAGTGAGTATATACCATGTGTGTCTTTCTCCTTCTGAGATACCTCACTCAGAATGATCTTTTCTAGATCCCACCATTTGCCTGCAAATTTCATGATTTCCTCGTTTTTGATTGCTGAGTAGTATTCCATTGTGTAAAAATACCACAATTTCTGTATCCATTCCTCGGTTTTGATGGACATCTGGGTTGTTTCCAGGTTCTGGCTGCTACAAATAAAGCTTCTATAAACAAGCTTTGAGCAATGTTGAGCAAATGTCCTTGTTGTGCACCTGACTGTATGGTCCACCCAAACCTTCTTTTGCCTTTTAATACATATCATTGAGTGTATGAAAGGTCACAGGCAGAGCATCTAAAGAGAGGTAAAAAGGTAATCATCGCCATGGGAGTACTCGCCAGGGAACCCAGTTCTGCTGAGGGAAGACTTACAGGTAAAGGATGGTGTTGCACAAGCAATAAAGACTGGACGTTCACTTGATTCTCTCACTAGTGACCTGCCTTTCCTATTCTACATTATTTCCCTAGGATCGCTGTCCATACTCTACATAGAGCTCAGACTATATATTAGATGTCATCTGTGCTTTTTCTTACTCTTCCTTTCCACGGCCCCAAGAGTGAAATAACCAGCAGCCCAGTGCTGTTACAGACAGCATGCTTGTAATGGAGAGAGACCAGAACTGGGCATCTAGGAAGCTACCCCAATAATCCTTGGACACAATCCTGTGTCACGATAAACCATGACACAGACCTGAGCCATGGCCGCAGTGGTGGCTAGGTGGAAGTACCAGTCCAGAAAGATATCATCATTTCTGTCTATTCAACCAGCTAAGAAAAAATGATCTCTAGTTGGAAAAGTCAAGGAATCACCATGTACAAAACCAAGAAGAGTTTCTACAGCATGTCCACCTCCCTTTCTGTTCCTGTGGTATCAAGGAGTATATTTCCATGTCCCTTCACACAGCCATGTACTCACTGTGTCAGGAGCCAGAACCCTTGAACATTCTCTCCAGAAGTCTGCGCGATGTGGCTTCTCAGGTCTTCCACAGCAGTCTCAATGGCCCCCGGCTGAGTGGAAAAAGAAAGAATTTCACCTAGAGAAGACCAAACACATTCTGCACTTATGATTAGTTAGAATGGCCACACCTCCTCCTCCACACCCTCCAGGAGACTAATGGTGTTCATGTGTTTGCATATTCATCCACTGCCTGGTGGAGACCTTGATCTTGAACACTGTGTTTTACTGTTAGCTCTGTTGTGTCAGCCAAACGTATGCCAGGTCCTACCTTCTCAAATCCAGCATGCTTTCCCACTGAAATGAAAATAGCCATTTTTAAAAGAACACTCCTTCCAGAGAAATGGGTTTATCAGGAAGTTCAAAACATATATATATATATAATCTTCCCAGATTCTAAGTGCACATGTTGATTAAATGCAAAAAGTAGATTCCTTTCAGTGCTCTGACCATCAGTGTAGCTGACTCAGCAGCTCAACTCTCCTCAGTTTTTTCTATTTATTTATTTATTTATTTTTTATTTATTTTTTATTGACTTTACATTGTTCATAGTCCCTCCCTTCTCTTCTCCTGGTCCTACCCTCCCACCCTTTCCCCCCTACCTCTCCTTCCTTACTCATCAAAAAAGGGAAGCCCCCACCCCAACCCACCATGGATCATGTCACATGAGTGCATCCTTTTCCATGGTGGCCTTTTCCATGAAGCAGCCTAGCCAGGGCAAAGTGATCAAAAGTAGGCAACAAAGTCCATGTTAGAGATAGTCCCTTGCTAAAGGACCCACATGAAGACCAAGCTGCCCGTTAGCTATATATGTGTAGGGGGGCCATGAAGGGTGTTTGGTTGGTGCTTCTGTCTCAGCAAGCCTCACTGGTCTTCGTGGTTTCTTAACTTTCACAAAACAAATGTTCCCACCTCAGGGCCCAGGTCTATACAGAAACTCATTGACACCTGTTCTAGGAAATTCATGCCTTCCTTAGTTCGACAGTTCTTAAATTTCAGTGTACATGGGAGCCACGTTGAAACATTTCTAGAACCATTTCCAGTCTCCCATACAACTTAGTTGGGTTGGGATTGGAGACTGCATTTCTCACACATACCCAGATAATCCTGTTGGTATGAAGACTGTACTAGTGAGAATATACTTCACTGACATATACTTGAGACAACTAGTACTCTTTAGGCAGTTATTCTTCTTAATGCTTTACTGTATTTAAGAATCTTTCCAGGCCAGGAAGGAAGAGGATCCATGCATTCCTATAAGACTTAACAAGCTATGGGCAGATGGCAATAGTAGAGAACTCAATCCTTTAAGTAGACTAGGGGAAAAGGATGAGGGGAAGAGAAAGAGAGGGTAGGACTGGAGGAGTTGAGGGAAGAGCCTTTAATCAAGATATATAATGAATAAATTGTGAAGAAAAAATAAAAATTAAAAAAAAAAAGAATCATCAGGCAGCTATAAAAAAATCTTAACTTAGGATACATACTAGGCCAATTGTTTCAGAAATTCACTGGATAAACACATTAGTACATGAGGAAGTTTTAAGAATATATGCTGTCTTATAGGGTAATCTAGACAAGAGTGAGGGTGCTTGCGGTGAGGCATGTGTAAATGGTGAAGAGTTTCAAGTACCTAATTAAGTTATTCCCACATCTGCTCTGTGGTTCCTTCTGAACAGCCAAAGCCATCCACATCACCTAAAAAGAGGTGAGTGACACAATTGTCAATAATTAGCTCTGCAATTTTAGCTCACTGCGTGGCTTTCCTGGCTAAAAGGCTGAACTAAACCAAATCTTCTGGGTCACACTGATGAGTCTAAGTTCTGTTCATCTTCAAGAAAATGAAGTCATAACTTTTATAGCCATGATTCTGATTCCAGTTTCTTCCTGAGTTGGAGAGTAAGCTACTAGACTGAACAATTTCCCTCTGTATCATTGTCTGTGGCTGGCTTAAGGCTGGTCAGAAAGCTAATATTGGCGTCACATGCTTGCTGAAGGTCTTGTGTCATAAATCCAGCAATTTCTGGGGTTTCGGTCAAATATGCTTAGCAGTGCTGCCGGGGTTTCTACTGATAACACTCATTTCCAGTGACCCTGTGGGCAGTCAGTCTACCCTGGGGGCAAATTCCTGTAGTCTCCTGGCTATTCTCTCTTCACTCAACCTTTTATCCCTGTGAGAAATTCTGACTCTTCTGGGCCTACTTTTCAAAGTCTTCTGAAATATAATGCGCTCTTTGATGACTCAACATTGGTATTTTTCTCAAAATTTCTTTACATAATTTTAGCCTCACAAATATAACTCAATAGCATAACTAATACTTTTCAGAAAAAAAAAAGCAAGTAGAATCGGCGAATAATTAAATAACCCTAAAATAAGCATTTTGTTGAACGTTTTTACGTCAACCAGTTCAGCAAAAATATGTGAAGATGAATATAATGATTTATAAAATGTAAAAGCTTTAGTATCTTTCCTACAAAATGCAATAGCCTGTGGGGTGTTTCCATAGTGCTAGTGGTCATCACACTAATAAAACACAATGGCCAAATCTATCCAAAGAATAACCTATATTTGATCCAGATATACCTCTATGAAGTTAGGCTTCAGAAATTCTTGCACATCTACAAAATGGCGTGGGTGAAGAACTCTCCTTGTTTGTGAACAACAGTAAAGGAGGAGCCATATACAAATGCTACTCAAAAGGGTGCTATAATATATAATAGGTTTGGATAATCTACTATAATGAAGATATAAAAGCATGTGGATAAATTTAAAAGAAAAAAAAATGAAACAGGGGAGGATAAGATTGGCCACCTTCCTTAAAAGAAATGTGTGTAACTATATTCTTGTTTGGTGACACACAGTTGAATTAACCCTAAATAGGTCTCTGAAATATATCAATGTTGGTTTACTCAGGGTGGGGGAAAAATGAAAGAGAAATAGACCATAAAAGTGATGCTTTTCTCTATAGCTTTTCAAAAGCTAAACACTGAAAGTGTGTTATTTTGGAAAGCTTTGATGCTCTCTACAGATCTGTCAATGTTCTTGTCTGCCCCATTCTTTTTGTCAGTATGAACATTACTCAGGCTCTTTTACAATAGAGAACAAAATGGACCTCAACAGAAAACTGTGCTTCCTTACCTTTTATTATTGCTAGTTAATTAATACTTTTTTAAAACTTTATAAATTTAAATCTAATAATTTTGAATAAAAAATTTAAAAATATATATGCACTTTGTGTCTTAGATATTATCTCAGTCATCTTCATGGTTATCTGTAATCCATGATAAGTCATCTTGGCATTTTTTTATTAGTTTATTCATTTGTTAGATTGCTGTGATAATAATTACTGTAACTCAAGTATTGGGAGATACCACGAGACCCTGTACATTAAACAATAACAAACACTGAATAATAAAAAGCCTTACCATTATTCTCATTAGTGTTTAGGTTAAATAAAAGTGAAAAAGCCATACTAGAATTCAAGGATCAAATGCTTAGTGCAACCAAACACTTAGCACTGAGACTGCAGTGTAAGGCAAACAGGAAGTTATGATCAAATACCTCATCTTTCACCGCACAGTGACTCTCTTGTCTCTTCCATTTTAGCCCTGAGTAGTTCCAGGCACGGCAAACCTTCTTGGGGAATTCCAAAGACTTGCATATCGGTTCCCTTGCATTTCCACGATCTAGACTAGTCCAGAGCCAATGCTGACCCAAACAATGTCCTTGACTTTGTTAATAAGCTTGCCGTACATGCAGTTAGTTGTTCAGGAAGGACTGCTCTTAGAGCCTGTGGCTCTCAGATTTCTTCTGTAGCTACTGTGATGACTAGATAGAGGCCGTTTTTCAATAAACACATAAGTAAGAAAATTAGTTTGAAATCAGCCATGATCTTTAAAGGCCAAGCAAATTTGTATTTCCTTGAAAAAATAATAAAAATTCACCTTATCATTACTGTGGTTCTGCTCTCACTAAATAAATAAATAAGTAGATAGATAAATAAATAAATAAATAAATAAATAAGACATCTTTATGACAGTCCTCAAGGAGTTTCAATACAATAGAAGCTGAACAACCTCCTGCCCAGTGAGATGTTTATTTTCTAAACTAAATGGAAGCTCACACAGGCAATAACAATAAAACTAATAAATGTATGTGTTCCTAATGTGAGGGCAAGTCACTGGGAACCCTCTAGCAAGAGAAGAGGAAAAGAGAGAGTATGAAAGCCAAATTAGTGTCATGGAAGCAATGACATCTCACTACACAATGGGAAGTCCTAAACCTGCTTATTAAAGTCTCGCTGCTCACAATAGAACACAGGCTATAAAAAAGCCATGGGGAACCATTAATTAAATATTAAAAGATCAAATAGTTTTAGTACCATTAGTTTGTATGTAATTTACATTCTCTAGTATAAATTTAGAGATAATTCTCCATCTTGAATCGCTTTCAACTTTCTGATAAGGTATCTGCAAATACAGAGCCCTACAGGGAGTTTAAAAATATCTTTCTCCATGTGGGCTAAGCATTGTTCTTTTCATAAAAAGTTGCTTTTGAACATCAGTCTCCATAACTAGGATGATTATCATAATATACCTCAAGTTATTAGCCTTGAGGGATACTTTTGTTCAGAGAAGGCATGAGGCCTTTTTTAGATATGTCTGAGCAAGAATAGCAGATACACTAAAACCAGAGAAAAAGGTTGCAAATGGACTGAGAGAAAGAGTTTTAGACCTTCACTTCTGGAATTTCTAATTCATATCCCAAGGTCATGGGTGGTGCAGTATCAGGACTCCTGCATGGCAGGTATGCTTCCCAGGCCTGGCATGGTCCTTGAGATTATGGCTATCCTCAGGCAAGTAACACTTCGTTCAGGTACTTTAAGAGGTTGACTGGATATTCCCAGGACCCACTCTTTCGGAGAAAAAAAAAAATCTCCTAAACTAGGTCAGAAAGGCATAAATTTTGTATATTATAATAATGACCAGCAAACCACAGAAGGGGATTACGGGCTCAGTAACTTATTTTATGATCTGGTACTTAGACACATGATAT